TCTATCTGTCTATCTCTCACTCCCTCCCTCTCTCTACCTCCCATACTCTATCCTTCTCCCTCTCTCTCTCCTTCTCTCTCTCTCTCTCTCTCTCTCTCTCTCTCCCCTACCTTTACTGGTCTTCGCTTCATCCAGCGCATCATCAGCCTCCTGGGTCTGTAGAGGCGACTCCAGAGCCCGGCTTAGCGTCACTTTAAAGAGCATGGAACTCATGTCGAAGTAGAAGTAAGTAGAGAACTCCTGCCAGAAGTGGAACTTAGAGTAGATTACGTGAACTGTCTGCCATTTGTATAGGTCCAGAATCTTTGACAACATCTGAGCCTGTTGTCGGAACGTTGGTAGCAGACTCAGTATATGCGTCTTCGCTTCAGGGGGGAGAAAGGCGTTTACAGGAATGTAGGCTTTTTGGTAAAGCTCTGCTAGTGGAAGGAAGGAGGAATGGATGTCGTAGGAAGCGAGGGAGAGCACGGCATTTGTTGTTGTGTTGCTGAAGATGTTGTTTAGGTTGGAGACGACGGACTCTGTGTCACGCTGCTGGTAGATCGAGCAGGACACGCGAAAGTCTTGTCCCGAGCTGCCAGGGTTCAAATCTTGGTATTCGGCGCTGTTGTAAAAATCGGAGACGGCTTTGTCTACGCGCGTCTGCAGTTTGGAAAGGAAGTCTTCGTCGGTCGACTCCGCCACCAGAATGCCAAGGTTGAGGTCTGTGTTCGATGATGATGGTGACGGTGACGTAGAGGAAACCCCAGAGAGTTGTGATGCAAAGACGAGAAGACTGATGAAAGAGGAGAGAAAAATTCGTCTCTTCCAGGTTTTTCTGTGCGGGCTGGGGAACGATGTCCACGTGTTGACAACAAACCGTGTGCCTGGTGTCCGGTTCTGTGACCTACATTTGAGGCATTCCCTGGGGTGTGCGAGCCGGGAGAAATAGTTCGTCTTGTCACACGAATTCCCGAGAAAAGACAATTGCTTTTTCGGAATGCAACTGGCGACAATGGAAGTGGCTGGAAGTGTAGATGAGGACATCGACTGTCCACATGCCTCAGTTTGTGACGTGGCACATGTAGGTTCATTTGAGGCATGGGGCGTGGAGCCCGAGTGCTGGGCGGGGCAGGGGCCGTAACTGTGCGGGTGATCACCTGGCCAATCTGAGCGATGCAGCAACATCGCTACGGGGTCAACCATTCCAGGCTAGGAGGGGCATCTCAGGGCTGGGCGTGGGGCGGGCGGTTCGAGAGTGCAGTTGGGGGTTCTGGGGAGGTAAAAACATTAGTTCAGTTGATAATAAGATAACTACATTTATACAGAGCATAGCCATACTTTGCTGTATGGTTTATGGGTTTTGCAACGGTTGTTATTCCAGCAGACCCTAGAACACGTACAAATGTTCTCAGATTCCCGGGAAGCATACAGTACAAGCAGAAGATTAAGTGTCCAACAAACAATAACAAACCGACAAGATCTTTCGCTGTTTATGGCTGAGTACCCGTTCCCTCCTGGGTTAAGTTTTAAAGATTCGAACAAAATGCTTTTCCCAAGGACGAAATGCATCGAAGCCATAACCTTTCAATTGTGAACGTGACAGCCTGCTAGACTACCAACGTTGACTAATTCAGAACAACATTGAGAGGGAAGAGACTGTTTGTTGAATGAGGTACTTGAGTACCCAATCAAAGTTATGGGCGTCTTTAAACATCTTTCAAAACATAATGAATAAACGTGAAACGAGTTTTTTATTACCCAGAGCCGAGGAAAAAGACAAAGTGCTTCTGAACAAGAAATACGTTTCCTGTTGCCGTAGTCGTTTTTTTCATTTTTGTTGTTGCTGCTGTTTTATTTATTTATTTATTTATTTATTTATTTATTTATTTATTTATTTATTTATTT